GGGGATTGAACCCAGATCCTTGTGCATGCAAGGCAAGCACTCTACCAACTGAGCTATATCCCCAGCCCCAAGTTCCTCATTAGTTCAGTAGCCATCTAAAACTATACATTAGCAGACCATATGCTTCCTACCATTTGCATTTAAGAACATAGGTTACTTTAAAGGCTATGTTGGTGTCTGTGCTCTGTTCCATGACATTACTGGTGAGCTATGAAGTTTTAGCAAGCCTCTATATTTTAGGGTTAATAATATGAAATTAATGCTGCTATATTATGGTCAGTTCAATATGGAGTTAGTGCTGCTACATTATGGTTAGTTCTTAGGCTTTTGGTGAGACTGTGCCCTTGGACTGTGAACTTTACCAGTGCTTCTGGGTACCGCCCCCCCCCCCCCATAGGTAGATCAGGATGGCTAGAGAAGGCTAGAGTTGGGTAATTTGTGATTCTATGTATCCATCTGCCTGTCTCTTCAATTTTGGGGGCAGCAGTTTATCTTGGGACCTTGCTTCTCTGACAGATCTAAGAGTTTTTGATTTTTTTTTTTTTTTCAGTTTGTTAGGTTTTTTACTTGTTAGGATGGAGTGGCGACTTCAAAGCTTTTCACATGCTGGCTAGGAGACTGGAAATCTGGTCTAACATTTTTTATTTGGATGGCAGACATTGTGAATTTTATATTACTGAGAACTGGAATGTTTATATTCTTTTAGATAGATGTTTTAAAGCTTCATTCAGTGCTATAATTTGGATCTTGAATGTCCTCTGAAGGCCTATGTGTTAAATGCTTGGTCCCTAGCTTACCTAATAGGAGGTGGTGGAACCTTCCAGAGTGGATCTTGTTGGAGGTCCTTAAGTTACTGGGGGTGTGCCTAATACCAGAGGTAGTAGTGCTCTGGCCCCTTCTTTCTCCTTTGCTCCCTGGCTGGTGAGGTAAGTGGTTTTGTTCCACCATGCACTTCCACCATGATGGGCTGTCACAGGCCCAAAACATGGAGCCACTGGATTTTGGACTCAACCCTTCAAAACTGTGAGCCCGAATAAGTTCATTATCACTATTTTGTCACAGTGATGGAAGGCACATTCTGGCACATGAAGTTACTTTAAAAAACATTATTCTTCCAAGAATTGTGTTTAAACTTTGTTAGGCAGGTCCAGAATGGCCTTTTGACATTTTCTTTTCTCTTTTTTTTTTTTTAAAGCTTTTCATCTTGGCCTCACTACTGAGACATTAGAAGGGCTCTCCCTCTGGCTTTGGAGATATCAGTTGTTCTTGGCCCTGTGTGAGCTCCAAGGATTATTCTTTCTAATCCTTTCGTGTGATTATTCTTGCTCTCAAGTCAGGTCCTTTCCTCAAGCACTCATGATCAGTACTCAGCTGATACCCTGAAGAAAACTTCTTTCAATGTCCAGAGCTTCATTTCTTTCCCTTTCTCTCTTTCTGATATTCTGTCCCATGAATTCTCTAACTTAGTCCCCCTGAGCTCTGTCTCCTCAACTCAGGGAGACATCCACACTCTAGAGGTACTCCTCCTCTGTACAGGACTAAGATCTCTCTAGGAAGTCACCTGGGGAATCTTGGGGCTCACCTCATTTAATTCTCTGGGGATCACTGCTTGTACTGTAGTTGTCCAGTGTTTAATGTTTTAGTTGCATAAAGCAGAAAGAGAAATCTAGGCCCTGTTAATCCAGGACCAGGAGCAAAAGACATGGTGTTTTGTTTTTACCTTCCCAAGGTTAATGTCCAATATGTGGTGGAGCTGAGATCCCCTGCAGCCTAGTTCTCATTTCCAGAGGTTTAGCCATTTGGCTGTGCTCCCCACTCCCCTGGCAACTGAGCTTCTCCTGTCACCTCTGAAGTCACACAGGTCAACTCTCCCTGCCTCTGACCTGAAGCTAGGAGAAATGACATGTGTTCTAGTATTTGGTACTTATTAAGACTCTTTTAAGTGTCCAGGCCTGGGCATCTATGTCAGCAAGACAGCAGACATCCTGAATTAGCACCAATCATGAGATCAGCAAATAGAAACAGAAAAGAAAACTGGGTTTAGGAAGTTGTTATTTGAGAATTATGAGGGCTGTAAGGCAAGGTGACAGGCAGGACATTATAGTACAGAAAGAGATATTCCTTTACTAATTGTGGCAAAAATGTAAACTAAATTAAATAAAAAACAAAACAAAACAGAGATATGAAAAATTGTGCTCTCTATGCGTAATTTGAATTGTAATGCATTCTGTTGTCACATATAACAAATTAAAATTTAAAAAAGAAAAAATAATAAAATAAAAAGCAAACCAATAAGTAAACCTGCTATCAGCAGTGCAAATTGGTGGTAAGGGCAGCTTTGAGTCATTTCCCAGCAATCCTCCTCAGGGAAGGGAGTTTGCCATTCGATCCCACACACATCAGCTCCTTTTTAATTTTTATTATTATTTTTTTTGGTACTGGGGATTGATCTCAGGACTGCTTTACCACTAAGCCACATCCCAGCCCTTTAAAAAAAATTTTTTTTTTAAATTTTTTTCTTTGGAGACAGGGTCTCGCTAAGTTGCTGAGGCTGGCTTTGAACATGTGATCCTGCTTCTTCAGCCTCCTGAGCTGCTGGGACTACAGGCATGAGCCACCACATCTGGCCTTTCAGAGCTTCCTAATGCTGGGAGGCAGGTATTATCTCTATTTAAACACATGGAGAACTGGATTTGAGAGGCTAAGGAACTCGTGAAGTCACACAGCTAGTTTTAGAAAGGTAAAGGGTCTGATTTCAAAGTCTATGCCCTTTTCCTTCTGCTTCTGGCAACAGGTGTACCCACAGATAGTCCCCAGTGTGCATTTTTTTGTTTTTTGTGGGTGTTGAGGATTAAACCCAGGGCCTCTCATGTACCTTCTAGGCAAGTGCTCTACCACTGAGCTATATTCTCAGCTCAACACTTAACTGGTGAAAGAGATTAAAATGTTATACTTTAATAAAAATTTTATTTAAAATAGATACACTGGGGGTGTAGCTCAATGGTAGAGTATCTGTCTAGCATGCATGAAGCCTGGTTCCATCCCCAATACCACAAAAATGAAACAAATCACAAAGTAACACACCTGTCTAACCAGCATTCGGATCAAAAAACAATATAGGTTCCCTAGAATCTCCTCACAAATGGCCCTCTTTTGACTGTGGAGCTCTGGCATAGAAGTACTCAGTGGAACTTAAAGCTCAGGGTCCCCGGGGTCCATGCAGGCTTCCAAGACCCATAAATCTCTTAAAATTATAGGTGAACATTTTCCTGAAGAGAGGAGGCAGTACTTTCATCGGACTTTTTCAAAGGGGAGAAGAATCAAAGCTGCAACTGAAGATTGCCTAATGGGGAATCCATTCATTCATCATATCAAATTCGTAATACAGTAACAATGCTACCCTTTGAGAACTTAGTATGCCAGGTGCTATGTTGGGCACTTCATGTTTACTATTTGACCCTCTAAAGTGTAAATATCATCATTTCCATTTTGCAAATATGAGAACTGGGCCCCGGAATGAAGTGACTTGCCCAATGACACACATTGATTATGAAAGTATTTGCAAAGGCTAGTATTAAACATCAGGTTTGCTACACCAAATCCTGTGCTTTTACAGCTAGACCAGAACAGCTTTTGTAGTATCAAGTTGCCTAACTTCTGCTCCAAACAAGCCAAGCTTGAAATACCAGGGTGAGAAGGAAATGAAAGAGTGAAGTCAAAAGCCCAGGGCTTTTTTTTTTTTTTTTTTTTTTTAACAATTCCCAGCTAACCAATGAAAACTCATTGCAAAGGTGAAAGTACTGTCTTTAAAATATGCACTTTGCCTTTTAGGGGTGTGGCTTCTTTGTAGGTTTTCTTAAGTAGAAGTTATTATCTAACCACAAACCAACTGTCTGTCATTACACTGCACTTTAGAGCGTGGCTATGATTGGCTGACCAAAAGAGCAACATTTGAACTTAAAGAAAAAAACCAAAACAACCAAGGGTTATTTCTGTGAGGAAGATAAAGCTTTGTCGTCAGAGAAAACTCCAGCTGGAGTCGGATACTGGGTACTAAAACCCTGTCTTAGGGTTCAACCATTATCACCACCGCAGACACTGGTGTTATTACTGTTGATTTCTTCACCAAGAAATCAGCCCCTATTTTAAGTCAGATATAATATGAAAAGATGCAGAAACCATGTTGAAAGTGCTTTGTAAACTCTAAAGGCTTACAAAAATGCTAGTAACTACAAATATGTAGAGTTTAATATTCAGTTTAAAAAATTTAATCTCTAGGTAGAAAGCAAAAGCCTCCTATCTATAATGGCTAGACCAGGAGTAGGTGGCAGTGACAGGAGCAACCACAGTTCCTGATGCCTACTTTCCTAATCTTTGGACCACCAAGTAGGCTGCATCCTCAGGCATACATAATAAAACCTATAAAGAAAAAAAAAAAAGTGGGCCACAGATGACTTCATTATAGAAAAGAAACCTCAGCCTCATTATTGATTGAAACATTGCATCCTTAGTACATTTAATACACATCATTGGATCTAGGATGCGTACTCAGCTAAAATAGAAGGATAAATGAAAAAAATTATCTCAAGCAGTACACGTTTCCTGCACACAAGGCAAATACAGCAAATTAGCAAATTTTAGAGAACCTGAAATACTGAAATTTCGGGCTGGGGATGTGGCTCGAGCGGTAGCGCGCTTGCCTAGCATGCGTGCGGCCCGGGTTCGATCCTCAGCACCACATACAAAGATGTTGTTTCTGCCGAAAACTAAAAAAAAATAAATATTAAAATATTCTCTCTCTCTCTCTCTAAAAAAAAAAAAAAATTAGCTATAAAAAAGAAATACTGAAATTTCTATAATATTTTCCTCAGCAAGAGTATCTATTTAAGAGAATATCATTTACTAGATAAGCCTGAAACTTTACTGCCTCAAGTTTTATACCCTCTATTTTATGCACGATAGCACTACTTACAGAGCCACCAAAGCAGCAATGCAGAATCTTCAGTTTTTTGTTGAAACTCACTTTATTAAAAAAAAACAAAACTGTCATGAACAATAAATTACAATCATTTCCCCCCTTTTATAAATTCTTCATAAAATATATTTGACAATTTTAAAAGAAAATTTCAAAAGTTGCTTTCATTTCTGAAGTGCTGATGACTCATTTTTTGACCATTTTGTCATGCTGGTGAATTATTTTGTAGCTGCTACAATAGTTTGATTGATAACATTTTACAATTAAAAACAACAAGGAAAAAAAAACAAAACAGACCAGCAGAAAGAACTATTCTGTGTGCTATTTATCTGACACTTAATACTTACTTCATCATAATGACAAAGTATCCCTTAGCACCAAAAAATCTACAGGAACCCCATCTTTCTAAGTGACGACTAGTGCAAAATAACATTCTATGAGCTAACTGTACAACCCTATATTTTAACTGGATACAGCTGCCTATAAGCTTATTTGAAATATTTGGTCTTTTTTCAATTAAGACAAATTTCATAAAACACTATAAACCATGGCAAGAGACTCTATGAGGAATAATTGTTTATTGAGTACCTATTATGGACAAGGCACTGTGCACAAATTCTCAATTTCATTTTTTCTCTAGGAAATTTCCAGGAATTGTCAAACATCACTCTCATCTTTTATTTCTTACTTTTTGCTGGAAAAGGCCTGTGGCTAAAAGCCATTTTTTTTAACTATAATTTTTATCAACTTTGAGTGCTAAGCACACAGTAGGTACTTAATAAATACCTCTGACTGAAAGAACAAAGAAAGACGAAGAATTTACTACCATTTTGGTTGGTATCACAGGCTATTTTAGAATACAAGGACTTGAGAAAATTCCAGAAGAAACTTCCTGATCACCTCACACTTTTACCTCCAATGAAAGAAAGAATTTTACTTCACAAGTAAAATCTTTCAAAATAAGTTATAATTGGGCTTGAGGATGTAGCGCAGTGGTAAAGCTCTTGCATAGCATGCTCGAGGACTTGGGTTAGACCCAGCACCACAAAAAAAAAAAAAAAAAAAAAAAAATCAACTACTTTAAATAAGGCAGGAACACAAAACTATACCCTTAGGAAACTGTGACTTTAAGCAATAGATATTTGAAAAGCAAATGAAGCACTGGCCTAGCATCAGCTATCTGTTGAAGTGCCATGTTAGTGACAAGACATTATAATGATGCTTTTTCTTACTTCCAATTACTTGATCACCTTGGTCATATCTATGTTAAACTAATTTGGTGATGTAGAGGGTCAATTATCGCAAAGTTCCTGTGTATTTCCACAAGATTTATAATTTCCAAAAGGATTCTTACACGTAATAGCTTAAAATTGATGTTAAAGGCTTGTGACTTATTTTCATCATTTTAGAGGCATTATTTCAATAAAACCTTTCAGTGCAAATTTGAAAATTCCAGATTAAGTATCGCAGTTTAGAATTTTATACACTCTAATATTTTTTGTGATGTTTACTTCATTTATCCTCTGAATACATTAAAAATGGGGGAAATTATGACAGCAGTATTGTAAAAGTTCTGGAAGTTCAAAAGCTTAGAAGGCTTTGCAAACTATTGATAATTTCAGTCTAATACTATTTTGCTTGGCTTTTAGATTCTAATGCTTTATAAAGATTAACCTAGATACAATGTAGAGTTTATTTAACCTTCAAGGCTAACATTCAGTTTTAGATTTTAACTATCTGCACTTACAGGAAAACAAACTGGAGACAACCATACATTTAAAATAAACTAACTTCAAGAATAATGGTCTCTGGGCTGGGGACGTGGCTCAAGTGGTAGCGCGCTCGCCTGGCATGCGTGCGGCCCGGGTTCGATCCTCAGCACCACATACAAAAAAAGATGTTGTGTCCGCCAAAAACTAAAAAAAATAAATATTGAAAAAATTCTCTCTCTCTCTCTTAAAAAAAAAAAAAAAAAAAAAATAATGGTCTCTTGGTTTTTGACACAGACCATACCAACTGATTGTATAAAATCAATAACTTTTCTATTTGAAAAGTAGTTGATGCCACAGGATTTTATCCATTTGCCAAACTGTACATGTATTATTTCCCACCTTAGATAAAGGTGGCCAATATTTAAGACATCTGTCAACACTACCATTACTGTCTCAAATGAGAGAAGAAAACAGTATCAGTGCCAAAATGAAAGGAACTCCAGTGATTCAACAAGAGACCATGCCAGGGTAGGCAATGTGAGATTTGGTTTCTTCAACTTTATACTGAGGCTTAGACAGTCTTGAAACCAAAAATTAATACATCAAGTGTTGTTTTTCATTTATAGCAAAGCTTTTAGAAACAAAAGAATCCCGTATTCAGATTTATATCAGATTGTAGATGCTCCAGGGCAGATCTGTCCCAATGCAGTGGTTTAATTAGTTAAAAGAATGCTCAGTTACCTAAAAGAAGGTATGACTGAATAAATATCCTTGCTGACCTCTACCATATGATTGCATGACTAATTTAAGTCTAAGAGCTACAGGGCACTGGAGAGAGCTCAGACATACTTCAGCAGCTTTGGATTGCTTAATTTCAATTATGTTTAATCAGTAATTTTAGACCCTCCAAAATGATGCCTTCAAAAAAAGTTGTATAACATTACAAAAAAAAAAAAAAAAATTAGTAAGATCTCATTAGAGGGAGGGACAGGGGAAGAAGATGAGGGAAGGTTCATTTATTTTTCATCACTAATTTCACCAGCAAATCTCAAAAACCCAAACCTCTATCAAATAATTTAAACAGAAGTGGCATTTTCTTCAAATGGAATGCAAAATGCACACATTCACATACTTACATATACATAAATATATACATATATGTTTCCTTTACAAAGCTTCAAAGGTTGCATTACCAGCATGCAAACCTCTTTTTTCATGGAAATGCCTAATACTGACAAGGAATGCCTAAAATACTTAGAGACATATTTCCAAAAAACTGGACTCTTTTCTTCTTGGCTCTTAGGGAATTTTCCTGCCAAACTTCTACCAATGATCATTAAAAAAAAAAAAAAAAAAAAAAAAAAAAGAAGTCTACACCCACATTGGTAATATACATTTAAAACATACTAACAAAATGGCCAGCTTGGATTAAGAAAAATGAGGAAAAAAAATCCCACAATAAAATCTAAACCCTTAGAAGGTGGAGTTTAGCTTTTTGTATTCTTTTTCAGCCACATAATGTTGCATCACTGTTAAATCAGAAGCAGCATATCATCCAAGATATCTGTAAATAATATGTCACGTTTCCCAGCTGCTATCTTTAAATGCAATTTGTACTAATCTGAGTTCTAGTTCAAAAGCATCTGGACGATCCTGAGGGTTTGCGGCCAGCATTTCCTTAATCAGTTGTTTCATTCGCCCATTCATAGACTTTTTCTTCACAGGAATTAGAAGTTCCATTTTGGGATTTTCCAAAAGTGCCTCCCCAACCGGCACAATTTCAGTTCCTTGTTTTACATAACTCCCCAGGAGTTCCTTCTTTGTCTCTGTGTCTATGAATGTGATCCTTTCCAGCATCGCCCAGATAATAATCCCCAGAGCAAAGATGTCAGCTTTCGCTGTGTAGTGTCCTTCCCATACTTCAGGAGCCATGTAGAAATCCGTTCCACATGCCGTGGAAAGGAAACACTTGTTTACGCTGACAGGTTCTTCTGGGTTTTGCCCAGAGGCTGAACAAACTTTGCTTAGGCCAAAATCAGCCACTTTCAATGTAGGTTCTAAGTCACTAGTATCCAACCTGCTTTGAGAAATCAGGATGTTGTCCGGCTTCAGATCTCGGTGGATGATCTGGTTTTTATGCAAGAAAGCCAGGGCACTGCTCAGCTGAAGCATGAAGCTGGTGTTAGTTTTCCGATTGGGTTTTCTGGACAACAGATACTCATTCATATCTCCTCCGTCACAAAAATCCATCACAAACCACAAATAATAGGCGCTTCTGGGATCAAAGGCAATTTCTCCTTTTAACGAAGTCTCTACAAGCTATAAAGGGGAGAAATAGATTACAATAATTTAACAGGTTATACAACTTAATTATAGGAAAAGAATAATTGATTCCAAGAATAAGTCTCTAGTTTTTGTTTTTGCAGTGCTGAGTATTGAATCCAGGGCCTAATGCACGCCAGGCAAGTGTTCTACCACTGGGCTGCACCTCCAGGTCTTCAAGTCTCCAGTTTTAAGTGGAAATTCCATGATTATCTATCTATCTATCTATCTATCTATCTATCTATCTATCTATCTATCTATCTTTGTGATACTAGGGATTGAACCCAGGGGCACTCTACCTCTGAGCTACATCCCATCCTTTTTTTATTTTGAAACAGTGTCTTGCTAAATTGCTCAGGAAGACCTCAAACTTTTAATCCTTATGCCTCAGACTCTTGAGTAGCTGGGATTATAGGTGTGAGCCATCTTGCCTATTAGGAATATTTTATTTGGTCAGCGCTCTAATATGTATTTTAAACTTGAATACTTTATATATAAATTATCCCTTTGTCCCTAACAAATATATATTAAATCTCCAAGCCAAGAGACAAAACTTCCATTTTACGCATAGCTTTATTTTGAGAAGTGTCCAATTGGCCTACATATTCTGGATATATCAATGGAGCTAAACTCTACCCATCACCTAGCTCATCATTTTATGAAAAGACTATAGTGCTTTAAAAACATTTGTTGTATGGTATCCTTTTCAGACTTATAGGTTTAAGAAAAAATATGAAAAGACTTGTTGAGGAATAAGTTGACAACTTTCCATTTAAATCTACTGGTACTCCTTGTCATTTTGGCCAGCAGGAGCACAGAATACCCCTCCACACCATCTTCCCTCAGGGCCAACCCCAGCAAAAATTGCATTGGTCTGCAGATGTCTCCATTGCAACGTGTTTTCCCTGTTGCATAGGTTTGCCAGTGAGACTCAGAAAATAAACAACAGAAAGATACAGATCACACTATTATTTACCAAATGGTTTCCTAAATAGTTTTGAACAATGCAGAGTCCTAGTAGTCAAATGGTTTAGAGAAAGGCCAGACAGTAAATATTTAGACTTGGAAAGTGTCATGAATTCTCTTCTTCCTTTCCTGTCCTTTTTTATCCTCAAGTTTTAAAAAATGTAAAAACTATTTTTAGTATCCAGGCTATAAGAAAATAGTGCTGGGCCTCTCTAGTTTACAACTACAGAAATACTGTGCCTGACCTACTTATTTTCATGGGGTGGGAAATAGTAGCCACTGGTTCTCTTGCCTAAAGTCCTTCAATGGCTTCCTTGTTCTTTTAAAATATAGTCTACGCTTTTTAACAGAGCTATGGGACATTATATGCTCTGACTTCTGCTGACCCTTTTAGCCTCATCTCAAAACAATTCTCTTTGTACACTACAGAATTACTATCTTCTTTCAGTTCTTTTAAATGCTTCATGCTTTTGGCTTTAATACCTTTGTATGTAGTTTTTTCTGCCTGTGAAATTTTTCTAATCACTAGTCTAGCTAATGACTATTGACTCTATGAGGTTTTTTTTTTTTTTACTTCATCTGCTTGCTTTATTTATTTATTTATTTGTTTATTTATTTATAGAGAGAGTGAGAGAGGAGAGAGAAAGAATTTTTTTTTAATATTTATTTTTTAGTTTTTGGCGGACACAACATCTTTGTTTGTATGTGGTGCTGAGGATCGAACCCGGGCCGCACGCATGCCAGGCGAGCATGCTATCGCTTGAGCCACATCCCCAGCCCCTATTTATTTATTAATTTATTATTTATTTATTTACTTTAGTTGTAGATGGAATACCTTTGTTTATTTTTATGTGGTGCTAAGGATTGAACTCAATGCCTCATACATGCTAGGCAATCGCTTTGCAGCTGAACTACAACCCCAGCCCTGCTTTTATTTATTTTTATGTGGTGCTGAGGATGGAGCCCAGTGCCTCACTTGTGCCAGGCAAGTGCTCTACTACTAAGCCACAACCCTAGCCCTAACTCTACAAATTTTAATTAAACATTTAATAATTCTTGAACCCTAGGATCATGTCAAGAAGGCACTTGCTAAATGTGTTGATGAATGTCTGGTAGACTACATAAAGCCAAAGAAAAGACAATTTAAATACAGGTCCCTATGACTGAGTACTTCTTATGGGCCAAGTATTATTTCTGCAGCATCTCTAATTTTTTTTGTTTTCTGGTACTAGAGACTGAACCAGGGGCACTTGGGACACTTTACTACTGAGCTCATCCCCAGTCCTTTTTATTTTGAGACAAGGTCTCATTAAGTTGGTGAGAACATCTTTCCATCTTTTTTCCATCTTTCTGCCACAGCCTCTTGAGTCACTAGGATTCCAGGTGTATGCCGCCATGCCCAGTTCATCTCTAATTTTGACAACTCCCATGGAAGGTAAAAATTATTACAACCATTTTACATATGAAGAAACAGATGTTTGGAAAAGTTGGGTTATATGTCCAAGGTTATTCTGATAGTAAAAAGTGTCAAAAGATCTATCAATCTTTAAAAAAAGAAAGAGTCTGGGCATGTTGGCATATGCCTATGATCTCAGTAACTTGGGAAGCTGAGGCAGGATTACAAGTTCAAAGCTAGTCTCAGCAACTTGGTGAGGCCCTAAGCAACTTAATGAGATCCAGACTCAAAAAAAAAAAAAAAAAAAAAAAGAAAGAAAGAAAGAAAGAAAAGAAAAGATAAAGGGCTGGGGGTATTGCTCAGTGCTTTAATCCAGAGTACCCCCCCCCCAAAAAGAAAAGACATTTCTAAACAAAAAGGCAATTTAGATTAAAAAAGTCACTGAATTAAGTTTGGTAGTTACTTTACATCTTAAAACCTTGAAAGACCAGCTAATGCCTAGTTACGATAATGGTTGCTGGATCTAGATTCAGCACTAATGCAAATGTTTAAATGTTTTTGCTTTTCCATCCAAAAGAGATTATTTTCTTTTAGTTTCTAAAACTCAAAGTTCAGCAAAGTTCTATCCACTTTTAAGAGGAAATGTGGTTTTCCTAGTATTTGTGAAGCCCTAAATTCAATCCCTAATACCACACACATACAAAAAGGGAATGTGCTAAGAAAGTTTCTAATATTTTTTATCAGTGCAACTTACATAAGTACTTTTAGAAAAGTAAACAATAGAGGCCAGTTGTGTTAATTCATTGTGCTGAGAAAACTTCAGTGTATAAAGTGCTAAGTTGCGATATAAATTCTTCAGAATATTTTGTCCACCATACAATACTTGCAAGTTTCTAATTACACATATCAGTTTGTTTTCTTTGTCATTCCTATTCAAAAGGCTTTTGTGGTTTTAAACACACTTTAATTTTTTATTTTTAAAGTCATATTTTTTTTGTTTTTTATTGGTACATTATAATTACACATAATAGTGGAATTCATTGTTACATATTTGTACATGCTCATTATATAACAATATAATTTAGTTAATATAATTCCCCAATATTAAACACACTTTTAAATGTTAAAAGTCCAATGGTCAATTCTGAATGTAGATACACTCAAGGAAAGCTGTTTCCTTTTCTAAGGGACTGACCTTAAGAAATTCTGCTCTGGTCCTTGCCTAACTAACTAGGTCTTAACTATCTTTTCTATTCAGTGATAGAGAGCTCTAAGAGATTTTGACTTTATTTTATTTTTTTAGATGTATGGACCTTTATTTTATTCATTTATTTATATGTGGTGCTAAGAATCAAACCCAGGGCCTCACACATGCTAGGCAAGCGCTCTACCACTAAGCCACAGCCTCAGCCCCGGGATTTTGACTTTAGAAGAAGTCAATCTTTTTTTTTAAAAAAAAAAAGCTTTTCCATTTTCCTATGCTACAAAAGAGTAATCTGGAAGTTAAGAGAGCATAAAGCTTTAGTTATCAAGACACAGTGGTGCACACTTGTAATCCCGGCAACTCCACAGACTGAGGCAGGAGAATTGTAAGTTCGTGACCAGCCTCAGCAAATTTCACAAGGTCCTAAGCAATTTAGCCTGCCTTAAAATAAAAACATAAAAAGGGCTGGGGATGTGGCTCAGTGGTTAAATGCCCCTGGTTTCAATCTCTGATATGGAAAAAAATTAAAAATAAAAAAGTCTGCTAAATTCAGCTCCCAATCTGACACTAGCTAGGTAGATGTCAGTGGATAAGTTCATTATTCTAAACCTCAATGTCTTCATTTGTAATGAAGATAATGTTACCTTATAGGATTTTTTTTAAATATTCATTTTTTAGTTGTAGATGGACCCAATATGTTCATTTTATTTGTTTATTTTTATGTGGTGCTGAGGATCGAACCCAGGGCCTCGCACATTCGAGGCAAGCACTCAAACGCTGAGCCATAACTCCAGCCCCCCTTATAGGACTGTTTTGAGCAACTTTCCTTAAAGCACTTAGCACACAGTATTAAACCAAGGAGGGACATTTGTTGATACCGGCACTGTTAATAACATTCATAAAAATTAATTGGAATTGCATGGGTAAGAAACCACAATACCCTCCAAAACAGCAAAGGGTTATATTTACACACGTGATTTATAAAAGAGATGTCTAGTTACCTATGGTATCGCTATCAGTTAAGGGAGTTTTTCCTTTTTTTCTGTTTTTAGTTCCAAAAAATTTATTTCAAAGAAGTGAACTTATTAAAATATAGTCTCAAACATTTCTCCAGTTTCTATCTTGCCCCATTCCTATGCAGACTGGCAAGTACCATGGCCTAACAGGTGGCTTATGTTATTTTTAGGTATGTGCATCACAAGTTTAAATAAAACCCTGTTTTAAAGCAAACACCTATTCTATTCTTGGCAGATCTCTATCTACTCCTAACTATAAAACATCTGCATTTAACAGGAAAAGTTCATTCAACCCTTTCATTCCTCTTCTTGCTGACCAATGTCATGTTCACATCTTTTCTATTTCCCATCCAAAAATACATACCTGTAAATAAAGGGAAGAATTAGAGCCATGGGACATCTTTTGCACCATCCCATCTTTCTGTAGGATGCATTCTTCCAGGTGAATCACATTTGGATGTTGGCTCTTGATACTGCTTAGTGCCCAGAATTCACGAAGTGCTAGTTCAACATTTTCAGGTGCATGGCATCGGATTTTCTTCACTGCCACCCGTGCAGAGGTCTTTCTGATGACTGCTTCATATACAACACCGTAACTACCTCGGCCTACCTCCCGTATTAGATCGTACTTTGGCTGGCTACTCACCATCTTCAAGGTCAAGGTTTCTGGAAAAATCAATAAAGTGCTCAATTGAAATTAGGTACACCCACTGGTTGTGTTTATTCTTGTACAGAGGGATTGAGTTATCATCTGGTTCATTACCTGAAGTGCTTAAGGATATTTTCTATACCTTGGGCAAATCTAACTCTAATAATAGAGCTACCATTTAGGTAGCACTTACCACATATTAGGGACTGTTTCAAACACATTACAGTATTATATTCATTTAATCCCCACATTATGGTTATTTTAGAAGTGAAGAAATTAAAGCCGAGAGAGGTTAAATAAAATGCCCAAAGTCAAACAGTGAGTAACTGGTGAACCTGGGATTTGAAATCAGGCCATCTGGCTCAGACATCCATTATTTTGACCACTAAGCTATACTGCTTCTTCAATGAGTAATTGAAAATGTGACTGTTAAAAATAAACCCCCAAATTCAGCATTTTACTGATCATGAACAAACAAACAGGGAGGCAAAATCTCAGTCTGTCCTTAAGACTAACCCAACATACAAGATCACAAAACAGCAAAAACAGAAAACCCTCACAGTTAGAAATACAAACACCAGGCTTATGTTTTAGGACTGAAAGTGAACCGGATCATTTTACAGAACTAATATTGTTGTTTTTATTATTAGACATAAACAGCCAAACCATATGTGTTTATTTTTATTTGTTTCTTAGGTTATTCCCTTACTTCCTGCAAAATAAATGAAAATAAGATTCGTGGAAAAGAGCTGGTTTTTTTTTTTTTAAATAAAGCTACTTAGAATATGACTACCTTTTTGTTATTGTTAACAATAGTTATTTAGTTCTAGTTTTTTTTTTTTTTGCAAAAACAAAAAAACTATCCTACAACATCAAGAGGAACTCTGACAAAGTTCTTTAGAATTCAACTTGATAAATCCTTTAAAAGTAGGAGCAAAGGCCCTACAACACACATGCTCATGTTTTGAATAGAAAAAGTTCAAAGTGTACCTCCTCACCCCCCAAATTCTCATTTGTAGGTTGTCACCACGCGCAAAGAAGGTAACCTGAGATTGTACAATATTTATCTCATACAACTGGGGAAACAAAAATCGACTGACTGTAGAACCTGAGAAATAGGAAACAGCTACTCTATGTCTACAGGGCAGATTCAATAAAGAAAACGACTGCTTCTCAGATTGCTTTAAGTCCCACTTCCTCGAATTGGTCACCTACCCTTCAAATTCCCACTATTTCCTAGTGTCTGCTTTCCTGCCAGAGAATCAGAGGCGGCAGGCGGTCTGCTCCACGCGGCCGCCAACTCCAGGTGGCTCGCTTCTCGGAAGCAGTCCCCCCACCTCCCGCCGGGTGCGAGGACCCCCGTGGGAAGGAGCACCTTCCTGAATAGGGAACAAGGAAGGTGGCTTTGAAATCCTCGCAACCCTGGATCAAAAGACACTGCGGTGGTGCACGCCGTGCTAATCGAGATGACTTACGCTGGCATCTCCCGGGCCCTCCTGCCTGCTGTGCTCACCCAGCGCTGGACGCCGGCCGGCCGGGCCATACACCTGCTGGGGCGGGGGAGGGCCAGCTGCGGCCAGAGGTGCTGCCCGACACGGCGGCTCAGGCCACGATCCTCGCTAAGTATCTCGCCTTCCCCTCCGCGGCCGCGGCCCGGTGAGACCCTACGGGGGTCCTCCCGGGGCCCTTCACCCCAGGAGCCGATTCCGCGGCGGCCTCCACTCCTTGGGGCTGCGGGCGGAGCGCCGGGGCCCGGGGAGTGGCCCTGGCATGAGAAGAGGCCGCAGCTGGGGCCGGTGGCCTGAAGCGCGGGCCCTGCCCGCGATGACTCGCTGACAGATCTGTGACAGGCCTGCAGGGAGGAGAGGCGCCTGCGGGGTCGGTGGCTCTGCGGCAGGACCTTCGTGCCACGCCGACGCGCCTGCTTTACCTCAGGGTAGCCACCGCTGCTGCTCCCTCTCATGGGCTGTGCAGGCCGCCATTATCGGGCAGCTCGCGCCTCCGCCACCGCCGCCTCCAGTCAGAGGCCGGCGCGCGCCCCCGTGGTGCGCGCAGACACACCCCCTCACGCCGGCGGCCCCGCCTCCCTCCGGCTTTCCGTAGCGCGCCGCTCCGCCGAGCGCCGCCTACTGGGCGCGCACCCGGGACTCCGCTCCCCGCTCCCGGATCCTGGGGCTGTGCGGAGCCCGGAGTCGCCGGAGGTGTGCGCGCTCCGGAGCGCACCACTGGCGCCCCTCCCCGCAGGGGTGGTCGACCCCGGAGACCGCTTCACGCCTGGGCTCTGTCGCCCCATACCCACGGCGGGCGCGCACGGCCTGCGGCCCCGGGAAGGGTCTGCGGCGGCAGGTCGCGGCCTAGCGGTGCGCGCGCCCGGCCGCGGCCTGCCCGCCCCTTTCCGACCTACCGAGCTTCGGGCTGGCGTGCGGGGGTCGCTGGGGCTGGATGCCTGGTGCATCTTCCTTCGCGCCGGCCCGGGGCACCTTCGGAACGCGGAGCTTTGCGGCGGTCGCGGGGAGGCGAGGCCTGAGCTGGGAGGCCTGGCGTGCGCCCCGCCGGGAGGGAGGCTGCACCTTTTGTCCGAGTCACTGAGCCATGTTTGCGGGCGGCGTTGTTGCCGAGGCGGCGGCGCGGGGCTGGGTGCGATCATCTGGGAAGACGCCGTCCCCTGCTCCGCCGGCGCGGTGGTATCTCCCTTAAAGAAGCCCGCGCCTCATTGTTCCTCGGCCACTGGGAGTCGGGGCGCCCTACCGGGCGCGGGAGGGAGGGCGCGGGGGCGCCCGCACCTGGCTGCAGCGTCCGCGACTCCCGGCCTGGCGGGTTCCGAGAAGAGGGTCGAATCCAGCTGGGACTGCGCGCCAGAAGGAGCCACGGTCTGAGCCCGGCTAGGCCGGGATTGACAGCCAGGACGGCTGTCCTGGGGGCGAGCACTCAGTGGGCGCGTTGGCCGCCGGAGTCCTTCGGCTACCCCACATCTGTCAATCAGATCCCGGCATGCATCGGCCTGACTGCCAGCCCCGGGCGGACGGTCACTCAGAGACCTGGACCAATCGGCCATCCAGTTAGTTACACACATCAGTAAGCCTGAGAAATGTCCACTCCTTCCCCGATTCTCGTGCACCTAGGGTTTGTGAGGAAGGTGGGGGTTCTTGCTCCAGTACTGTCTAAGGCATAATGGACGGAAGAATTCCTGTCTCAGCTCTCAGGATCGACCATTTTATTTCTTGTCTTCCAAATATGGCCTTCTGAGTCTGAGACCAGGTTAGGTTTTTATATAAATGATCTCTCTCAAGCTAACCAAACCTCACAAGAGGGAGGCTTTATTACTAACCCTATTTTTACAGAGAAGGAAGCCAACCTCTGCCTCATTTGACCAAAAGGAGTCCGTTTTGAACACCAGATTCCCTGGTGTCACAACTCTCCCTGCCACCAAAAAAAAAAACCCAAAAAAACAAAAAAACCCAACAGCAACAAAAAACACAGATGGTGATCTGTTCCGATTTTTGTACCCAGCACCATTTTTATACCTGTCTTCATCTGTTTGCTGGAAATACTGACACCAGCCAAAACTTGTTTCCTGCCCTGGAAAGTAGGGGAGATTATGGATGGCTCTGTAGACAGCTGGTTAGATACCAGTGTGGCTTTTTGATGGGTCAGATTGCTTGGTCCAAGTGACCTTTTCCTTTTGTCTGTCTCAGTCATTAAATATAGGAGCCCCTCCTCTCAAGCTCTCTCAAGCTGGCTGCAGAACAGATTTGAAATCCCTGCCCCCACTAGATAGGCTGACTCTAGATGAGGTGGATTTAAGTGTTGCTTAGCCTGAAACTTAAATAATTGGGGGCGTCCTCTTTAGGAAAAAGATGACAAAGTGACTCTGAGAACACATTGTTGGGACATTTGAAAGGGTCCCTGCAAGTGAGGACTCTGAAGCTTAAGTTTTATTAGCTTCAGGGTAAATCTGTCCCTGCTTATTATGGTATATCATTATTTTGTTATTTGTTTGCTTTCTTCTAAACAAGAATTCCTGAGAACAAGACCCTTGTCTGTGATTCATCTCTGCAGCCTCCTCAATTTGATATGGTATAAAAATACACCTGAGGCCAGCATCTCACACCTTGCTGATGGGAAGGCAAAATGATAGACTTTCTCAAAGAAATTTGGCAAGATACAGCCATATTACATATGTATTTACCCTTTGACCCAGTAGGTCAGACCTTAGACTTCTTGAAACTTATCCTAGCAATATAGGCTAAAATACAGCAACACTGTGTGCATTAATGCTCACATTTCTGATACTAAAGAACTGGTTGAATATAATACATACAGAGTGGAGTATTATGTGGCCATAAAAAGATATGGGGAAGATTTATATACTGATCACCATATTTATATGGTATGATCTCCATATATGTTGTTAGATGAATAAGCAAGATGTATATTAGTGCTTATTTTGTGCTTGATATCTTCTGTGTGCGTAATGGGGAGAGAGAAATATATTAATTACTCATATTTAAAAGACAAACAATGGAATAAATCCCAGATTTCTAAAATGGTTGCTTATGAGCAGATTGGGCATAAGGATGCAAATGAGACTTCTTAGTTATTATTCTGGAGACTTATAAATGTTTTTGCATATTTGTAAAATAGTTCAAAAAAAGCATGAAACACTACATGAAAATTAAAAACACCTGAAAATGAACCATCTATCATTCAGATTGGTGGCATAGCCACTTCAAGAAAATTATTTCATATGGCTTTAGAAGTATTTTGACTATACCACCCTAATGAGATATAGTCCAAGAACAATTAAAACAGCATAGAAATACAATTATATTCTTAAGTTTTATTGTTACTTGTAATATTGATGTTGCTGTTTTGAAATTGATACTGTGAAATAAAGTAAATAAGTGATTATGTTAGTAGCATTGGGAACCAAGATTTTTTCAATATATGAGAAAAAGTTTTAAGTATAAAAGAAGCTTAAGGTAAACATCTGGATTAGGTAGCAGTAAAAAAAAATGCATTTTTCTCTTAAGAAATGTGTTTTTCAGCTCTCCTGAAAAGGCCCACAAACAATGACCAATTCAGTAGTGATGAACAGAATACTCTTCATGCACAGATTTGTCTCTGAGATCCATTTTCTAGGTTTTTTTTTTTTTTTTTGTAGTTGTAGATGGACAGTATGCTTTTACTTTATTTGTTTATTTTTAGGTGGTGCTAAGGATGGAACTCAGTGCCTCATACATGCTAGACAAGTGCTCTGCTGCTGAGCTACAGCCCCAGCCCCCCATTTTCTAGTTTAAAAAAATTAAAATAAAGTCTTTGGTAATTGTCAGACTCCAGATCTGGAGCAAGAAAGATAAATTTGGGTCATCTTATGCCTGGAAGCCAGGAAACAATTAAAGATGGGGTACATGCCAAAGAACCACTCTAAGGGGGCCCCACTGACCAAAGATGGAAGAATTAAGCACTAAGAGAAAAAAAATTGCTTCAGTAGATTTTAACACATAAAACTTGTAAAAATCCATGAACTTATAATTACACATAAGAAAAGCAATTCATTCGTTACCACCAGCATAAGGGGAAATAGCTACTTTTCTGGGTTTTTTATGTATTGTATTCCAGGTAAGGAAATAGTAGGTAAGAAAAGGTTACTTTCTGTAGAAGAATTCCAACTAATGAACACAGAAGAAATGGTAGTTCCATAAAAGCAGTTTTTCAAATGGTGATGAAATAATGAGTCCGGGCAATGAACATTAAATGATGCTAAAACAATTGGATGAAAGTTTTTTTTTTTTTTTTTTTTTTGGTAACTTTGTAATGAATGCAGAGTTTAGGCTAACATTTGTCTGAATGCACTGACCAATTTTTAAATCACTTCGATGAGGACACAGTTGTCTCCATGAAGTATTCTTGCCTTAAAAATGAAAGAATCTAAGCCTATCAAGCCAAAATCTGATGACCCGTTCAGCAGAATTATAGGGAATAGACAAGGACCACAATCAGGCAAACTCAAAATGTGGGACCTTCTGTATGACAGGTCTCCTGGCTTCTCCAACACAATCATGGCTTTAAATTACAAAGGGAGAATAGAGTGTTAAAACCTAAAGCTCAACAGACTTGCCAAATGCTGTAATATCATTTAGATCTGGATTCTAGTGAACTGACAGTCAAAAAACATCTTTGGTACAATTTGGAAATTTGAAGATGAACTTAATTTGTAGATTAAATTCATGGTGCTTGTGGAATGAGTCTTTTCCAACTGGAGCAGCCCACTGATGCACAATGGGTGGAATGAAATGTGGCCTGGGATGTACTCAAGCAGCACAGCAAAGAGGAAGATTGGCAAAAGAGTGATCCTTGTTAAAATGCAGTTATGGGTACATGAGGTTAGTTATACCACTCAACTTTTGTGCGCGAATTTTTTCTAAAAGAAAAAAGACAGAGGCTGGGGATCTAGCTTGGTTGGTAGAGTGCTTGCCTCACATGCACTGAGTTTAATCCCCAGTACCACAGAGAAAAAAAAAAAAAAAGAAAGAAAAAATGTTCAAAACATGAAATGCCTGCTTTGGCCAGGTAGGAATTTAGATGTAGCACTCCTGCCCTCTTGTGGCAGGTTTCATTAGTGCAGTTACTGCCCCTGCCTTTCTAAAACAGGTCTGAATTCCAGGTATGGTCAAGTCCGTTCTTTGTCTTACCAGAACCCAAGAGGTGAATAATACTAGGATAGCGTTTTTATAGCTGAAGAAACAGAAACTCAGGAGGACTGAATAACTGAGGTTACTAAAAGGTCACTGGCAGAGTTAAACTCCTCGAGCCTTTGGGCTGATTCCAAGTCCCAAGCCCCATAAATCACTGTGATTCTGAACATTATTTTTTGTGTCCACAAAACATATCACATGGTCAAATGGAAAC